TTTTGCAGTTGAAACACTACTTTTTATTTATCTCGGAGTAGTCGGAGCTTTAGTTAATTTCTTTTCATTTTTATGCATGAATTATACTTTTGCGATAAATTGAAACGTGATTTTAAATTTTTTTTTTAATTACATTCAGTAGTTTTCAGGACCGGTATCATGTGATTAAAAATAACAGGTCGTTGAGTCATTTGCAGATTATATTATATATATATAGAAAAAAGAGGTGTGTTAAAGCAAGTAAGATAAAGAAAAAAGAAAAGAAAAAAACGAAAACCACACAGTAAAAAAGAGCACATATTTCTTTTTCTTGTAGATAGAGAAAACAAATACTTTTTTTTTAATTTAATGAGTTTTTTATGTTTTCGCGTCTTTTTTCTTTTTTTTTGTCGACTAACATTTTATAAGGAAAATAACGGATAGCGGTTTTGTGATAAAAGCCAAAGAAATAAAATGGATCGCTAGCTCGGATCGAATTTTTAATATCACCTAAGTAATGAATTGTGTGTGTAAATATCGGACTCTCGTCCAATTTTGAGTCTGAATGAGAAAAAATCTATACAGACAGATATCTGCACAGTACTGTGTGGAAAATGTCCTTTGCAAGCACCGTGCTAAGCGGGGCACTCTGCCAAGATACTTTCGTTATAAGATGAAGTTTGTTTGGAATTGTCGATGTGTCTGCGAATTGACATATGGTACGTCACTGGTAAGATTTTTGTATTTTTTGTAAGGTCCGCTACAAACACGAATGCCAGGCTTACTTGGAGTTTTGATATGAGGTCTAAACATATCTGTGTGCTTCTAAATTTCTATCTTTCTTGGACATGATCAAGCGAATTACAAAGTAAAAGGGGTGCTAAGCGAAGCTCTAGCCCTACGCAGGGCCGATTTTGCGAAAGCAAAGAAAACCGGAGAAGGAAATGTGTTAGTTAGTAATTGACTGTGAAGTCATAGTAGCGTTCATGCCTAAAGAGTCCACCAAAGCTCAACGAAATTATTCAATGACAGTCTAACGATTGTACGAAGCATTAAGGAGCACGCCTTTAGGTGGTATATATGGAAGTCAATTGTAAATTTTCAGACAGAGTTCTTAACGATTGTTCGCTAAATTGACGAACGTTGGCCAATGGCGTTTGTTAAATTATATCAACTTTGTAAATATCGCAAAGATAAGGTGACCAGAATTTTTACGAAACAAGTGACCATGAAAGCGAGTTTTTTTCTTTGAATACTTTCATCTATTTTCTTTTGGAGCCGCTACATATCTTATTTCTAGTACAGGAAGTTTAGAATATGAATGAACCTTTTAGACTTAGTCGTAGACTGGACTCTTCTCTCGTCATCTTCGACTTATTGCTAGCAGTAATGGTTTCAAAAAGATTAGCTTATCCTATAGAATACGTACGAAATAGCGGAATACAGTCAATTATTCAAGGTTTTTCTTTTATTTTCAATTGTACTTTCTAGTCATTGCTTACAAAATATGTTTACGATTAAAACTTAATCCTTTTTCCAATATTTGCAATATTTGGATGTCAATTATGGAAAGTCATCGTTCGCATTATAGAGGTTGAAAGATGAAGAAGCGCTAGATTGTTTTCGAAACGTGAAAAAAGGTCGTTGGACGCTTTTTATTCCAATTATCGTTGCTATTCATGTTTATTGACGCCCAATGGGCTAGCTTGATCATTTTTGGCTTTCGAGCTTGCGAGTTGTGGTTACGGGGTTTGTAACATTTCAACTTTTCGAGATGCAAGCGACTTATACTACTTATTATAATCATATGTCGCATGCTATTAAAGCAACTAAAATTGTTTGCAGGAGAAGCGTACGCATGGAAACCAAGGGCAAGTACGTATGAAAAGCGAGACTTGCTTTGTTTTAAAGACGGTTTTTCAGGATCAAATTTGTATATAAATTATGAATAAAAGTTTATTTACATTTTTTTTTTTCAAATATAAAACTATACGTTGCAAGTAACATGACAAAATTCACATGCCATTCGATCGTAAATGAAAAGTACACACCCCTCCATTAAAGCATTTGAATTTCGAACATGTGTATGTATGTCAACGACACATATGTAGTGTGGATTTCTTTCATTCACACGTACAAGCTCTTACTCTCTTTACACTATTCGGTCTCTCTTTTATGACCTTGAAAAGTAGTTAGCTTGCATTTCTGTCTAAAAGCTGAAATATATGTTTATCGTAGGAATTCTTATATAAAAATGTAGCTATATATATATATATATATATGTGTGGGCATGTCTGCATGTGTGTGTGTGTGTGTGTGTGTATGTGTGAGTGTAGGTCTGTAAATGGTTGACGACACAAGAATATTTTTATAAAACCTGTAATGTAACCAAGCCAAGTACACATTTTCTCTCGACTTTATTACCCAAAATCTTTTTTGCTGCCATGCGAGAAAAGTTTCTTTGTTGCTGTTTTTTTTTTTCCTAAAGAATTTTTTCAGATATTTGTAAAGATGCCAACTGTGTCTGATCACATTTTTTGGGTATTTTTATAAAATTTTGTTTTGTGCGAAATTGATTTATGTTGTTCATGAGACGTGAATAACTATGAATAACTATTATTGACGTAATGGAATCTGACGCTATACATGTGTACATTATAGATGAGTGCGCGATTTGAGTACTACCAGTTTTCCATGAAATATATCTTGAAATTTTCAACATTCTGGGTCTTTGCTCTAATTTGCTTCTTTCCTTAAACGAACTTATGACCAAAATAGACTATGCTCCACCTGAGATTTGAACCCGCGAACACTAACTTGCTAATCATGATGCTTTCCTACTGCGCTGCGCTGCTCTAGTTTATTTTCCCATGAAAAACGAACCTACTTTAAATACTGATCTCCAAAGGCTGCATATTCTGACAAACACTTTTAGCGTAAAATTTTCTTTACTAATCAGTATGAGGGGAGGCAAGGCCGGTAATATTTTTAGCCGCAAGACCAAAGGAAACGTGGGTTTCGTACAACGTTCTTTTCACCTCAGCGAATTGCCCGTTGAAGCTTCCATAATTGATGCCAAATGAAAAAATAAAAACAACTCCAAGATCGGCTGAATTCACCGTTAGTATCTTGCACTTTATCAACGGGAGAAATCACGCATGCGAATGTTAATGATATTAAATATCTTTGGGGATTTTTTGATATTAATTTGAGCGGGAAAGAAATTTACGGATAACAATAAACATAATTCAGATAAAGCGTTACCATACAAACTACAAGAATTTGCATAATACTATAAACATTCCCACGCGGTGACTTACGTAGTAAGTTAATAATGACAAATTTTGTTTTCATTTTTTTTTTTTATTTTTATAAAAGTCAATAACCTTTTAATGTAACACAACTTGTTGTGTTATTCGTTATAAGCTTTTTTTTTTATTATTTAATCGCATGAATTATTTTATAATTCACATTAATACTAGAGACACACATGGGCAATTTTTAACAAGTCCAGCTTAACACTTCTTCATTTACTTAATTATCTTATAGGGAGCATTAATATGGAAAAAATGATTCTACCTCTAAAAGCGTCAATAATATAAGCAAATAAGTTTAAAAAAAAAGTAAGTAAGAATATTATAGTCGGCCAAGGTCGGCCGTTAGATACTCTGCACCATTTTTTCTAGTGCAGTTATTTCCTCGTTCTGGTAATAAGATACCATAAAATGCAAGTTATCGTCATGAGAAGCTATACTCTTCATAAAAGCTCGTATTTTGGAGAATACTTAAAAAACCATCGCAAGGCGCGATCCAAACTTAATGTACTTTCCAAAAATTTTATTATTCTTCAGCTTCCGTCAAAAAAATTTACAAATTAGATTTTGTCTCCACATAAGGTCTTGTTTTTCATGGCAACCCCTATATATGTTGAGATCTAAAAAATAGACCACTGTAATCCAAATTTCGTACCGTTAATTTTTTCGCTCAACCGCGACTAATTTTCATTATAAAGTATCACAAATTAAACCCATATCTGGGCTTACTATATGGAGTGGATTCAAGAGATCGACCCATGCGATTTAAATTGAACTGATTTGATTTTTAATTCAAATTATTCTCAGCAACAAATTTTCGTCGAAAGCATTAACCATTAGCCCTTTTTGGCGTATGCTTTTGTATCCAAAGAATAGACCCATGTGGCCCAAACTCGGTAGGGTTGATTTCTTTGCCAATTTACTATTATGAACCAATTTTTATCATGAAAAATCGAAAATTAGACCTATTGAGCATATAAAGAATCAGTTTTCGATGGAAAGGTTATATGGGAAATGGTTCAAAAAATTACCCAAGTCGATCCAACTTTTTTACGTCAATTTAGAATATCGAAACATTATTACTGGGCGAGTTTAGCTAGCAGTATTTTCCATATAACGGTCGAGAAAATGTACCGACCCGAACTATTTCCGATGGAGTTCATCACTGGCTCAAAAAAAAAAATGGGTGCACCACATTCCATCAAAATATGTAAAAAATTGTGATCTGCAGATTGAACACGGTATATATGGATAGATGTCAGACGGACAGACAAGCTTAGAACGTTTCAGTAAATGATTATGAACCAATCGTTGTAATAAGAAGTGCATCTAATATATAATTAATATACCCTACACCACAAGTTTTGTAGGGCATAAACACAAAACAATGGCACTGCTTAATATCGAGCAACAGGCGGACATAGTTCACCGATTTATGTGTATTCAAAATACTTATTTGCTGTTATTCATATTAAACCATAAATAGCAATAAAACTATGAAATTATATGAGTCGGTGTTTACCGCATTTAACTGAATTCGACTGGTTTGCTTTGTTATAAGATTAATTCATTAAACTTTGTAACTTTAATGATTTCTTATTTAATTTACGCACCAGTATTTATATGAATCAATTTTTCTCCTTTTTTTTTATTCTTTAATGATTTAATTAAATTTTAAATTGTCTTTCTTTCTATTAATATTTGTAGATTGTCTGTCATGCCGTCAAGTATTAAATATTTTAACAATGCTCGGCTTTATGCTGAATTATGCTTTACGCGTAAATCTCACAATAGCCATTGTAGCAATGGTGAAACCTATAGAAAATACAACAACAACAACAATAGCAACGATAGTTGATAGTAGCAGTAATTTAACGACAACATTAATAGATAATGATGTTGATGATGCCGCTGAGTTGGATGAACGCTTTCCTTGGGATTCATATCAACAGAATTTTGTGCTTGGCTGCTTCTTTTGGGGTTACATACTGACAGAGCTGCCAGGCGGACGATTGGCGGAATTGATAGGTGGTCGTCGAGTATTTGGGCATTCCATGTTGTGGGCTAGTTTGCTGACTCTGGTGACCCCATTGGCTGCTCATTTGAATTACGTGGTCTTGATAATTGTCCGCGTTATACTTGGTTTTATGTTGGGCGCTTCATGGCCTGCAATACATCCGGTGGCCGCTGTTTGGATACCACCAATGGAAAGATCAAAATTTATGTCAAACATGATGGGTAAGTTTGAATGAAAACTTTGTACACTGTCGGGATTTTAATGATTGCTGGCTTCTCCATTTTTAGCCTCATCCTTGGGAGCGGCAATAACTATGCCCGTATGTGGTTATCTTATTTCCGTAGCTGGCTGGTCTAGTGTCTTCTATGCGACAGGTAAAAATTTGCGACACATTTTACGTGCGTTTAATTTGTCCTTAATTTTCTCTAAAAGTTTCGTATGAAAAACTCAATTGGACAAGGAATTATTAAAATTGAGGAGGCTTCATCTTCTGTCGGAAATGTTCAGTAGAAAACCTAAAAAAAATAGATTGTTTGCTCAAACGAAAACAATGAAAATTTTTGTGTGCTATTTTAAGATAAAGGTGTTAGGTACAGGAGAGTCGAGGCTATAGACGAATATTAATTTCTTGTAGAGTTATAGTTATTGGGAAACAAATTATTAGTCACTCTATGTGAATCTGTTCTACTTATGAAGTTTAATATTTTTAAGTGCTCCGCAGTTTTTATAACTGTCAAGAACTGTCAGATTGTAAAGAAAGAGGAGGATATAAAATCGAAAGTCGAAAGAAAGAGAAATAATTGATTTGCGATAACGAAAATATTCAGAAAGTCAAACGGTGTTGGCTAAATGGCTCCGGGCGGGATTAGTGAACGAAACCATAAGCAACATGATTGGATCCATCGCATACTAGCCCGGCTACTATTTTGCGTTTTTCGGAATAAAAATTTCCATAAAAGAATATTTAAAGTTAGAATAAGACTATGAAGAAAATATATGCAGGCCTAAATATTCCTCAGGTGTAGGAGAGAAAAAAGTAAATCACCTACAAACATATTCAAACTATTTTGAGAGAAACCAAAACGAAATGTTTCTGAATCGATCTAAGCTTGTCTGTCCATCTGTCCCTATGTTTGTTTACTTTGTTTGTGTTCAATTATATACATCTTATATATACATATACGTATAGATCAGTACATGCATACATATATGTACATAATAATAGCTTCGACCTATTACTGACTTTTTGATCAATTACAACGTTTGCCCAGTTTGATTACCAGTAATGGTTCCATTGATACTAATATTCTTATATATAATACATTATGATGTAATTGCTGCAGATCAATAGTTTTTTATAATGTTCATCTCGAACGTTTACATTCTAATGATACGCCATTTATTGCTATAAAAACTATTTTTTTATTAATTGCATATAATTATTTTGTTAAGAAAGCGTCCATTTTTAGAAAAAGTACGCAAACAGCATAGCACACGGTTTAGGATGTTTTGTTTGTGAACTAAAGTAACACGTGTCACGTGTTAATATTTATAAGAAATACTTCACGAATAATAAATATGTTTAATTAACTGAATAAATGAGATAAACAAAATACGTCAAAAGCATTTCTCAGAAATGGCTGAACATCGATTAAAAAAAAAAAAATAATTATATTTAGATTTAATGAATAATGAATGAATGGTTGCATTTAAAAGCATTTCTCAATAATGCAAATGTGAATGAAGCAGCGATGTTAAGCATTTTTATTTTATATTTCAGGAGCGGTTGGTTTAATATGGTCTGCTTGTTGGTTTACATTTGTCTATGAAACGCCTGCCACGCATCCGCGTATAACTGCAGAGGAGCGTCGAGAAATTGAAGAAGCTATCGGTACTTCGACGTCAAAGAAACGTCCCAGCTATGTGCCATGGATGGATATGTTGTGTTCGCCAGCTGTATGGGCCATCATCATAACTCATGGTCTGTCGGTATTCGGTTTCTTTACCGTTATTAATCAATTGCCGACATACATGCATCAGATTTTACATTTCAATATTAAAGAGGTAAACTCGATTTTTTACATGTGAGAGGGAAATAAATTTAAAATAAAATTTACGACTTTTTAGAATGGGTTATTTTCTTCTCTACCCTATTTGGGAAAATACATAATGGCTTTTAGTTCGTCATGTTTCGCCGATTATTTACGTAAACGCGGTACGCTCACAACAACAGCGACTAGAAAAGTTTTTACGGCATTCGGTAAGTCTTGAATGATTTTTATAAATTAAGCTACTTGTGATATAGGGTATACTAAGTTTGTGTGGGACCGTTGTAACACCCAGAAGGGCTTGAGAAAAGTATGGCCTTTCCAAAGTTCTTCGGAGAGTTACCATTCACCGTCAGAAAATGATTCTGAATCGGTGTAAGCTTGTCTGTCGGTGTGTCCGTCTGGCGTCTGTGCACGTATTCTTGTGTTTAAGTTATAGGCCACAATTTTCGAGATATTTGGATAAAATATCGTATAAGAATGAACGCGCTATTGAAAATGATTCGAATTGGACCACTCCCTATATAACGCCTTATTTTGAAAATAATATTTTGTAATTTTTACAAGTTCGCCACAAAAATCGCTTAGTAATGGTTTTTCGGTTTTCTAAACAGGTATAAAAACATTGCATCGAATGGGAAAATTTTTTGGATCCCTTGCCATATAACCACTCTTACAGAAACTGAATGTTTATATGATAGAAAGGCCTAACCTCTTCCTGAGAATAGTTTGACATAAAGATTAATAAATTACTGAATTTGGATCAGGTCGGTCTATTTTTTGACCCCCAACCCCTACAACGACTCTAAACTTTGTACGCCAAAAAAGTCTGATTTTTAATACTTTATGATAAAAATTTGTCCTTAGTAAGTTAACTATAGAGAATTTGGACCACCTAGGTCTATTTCTTAGACCGTCCCATAAAAGAGGTTCTCATGAAAGAAAGCCCTTCTATGGCGAAAAAGCCTAATCTGTGGTTTGTTGTGATTTGTTGCTGTCGTATGTTGACAAGTAAACTAAGTTTTGAAAATTATACATAAACATAGAAGTAATGTATAATTTTTGATGGATTGTTAACGAAGCGAAGTAGTGCAGGTTATTTAATCGTCGGCCTTGCCCGACTATAGAATTCTTATTTGTTGCAGTTATACTTGTAGAAATATTTCAAAATTTTACATTTGACTGTTTGACATAAATCAAATTTTACAAGCTCAAGTGCTTATAATCGTTACTATATACTTTTAGCTTTGTTAACACCTGGCTTTTTAATGGTTGCCCAAGTATTTTTGGGACGTGAAGCGGGTTGGTCTGTTACGATATTTACTTTGGCTTTGTTCACTCATGGAGCTGTGACAGCGGGTTATTTAGGCAATGGATTGGACATAGCTCCGAATTTTAGTGGCACCATATTTGGTTTAGCGAACACTTTGTCATCATTCGGTGGTTTTCTGTCTACCTGGATGGTAGGAGCTTTAACATATGAAGACGTAAGTACAAAGTATTTAAAATATATTGGTGAAGGTGAAATTTTCTTGGAAATAATACCAAGTTGACGATATTTACATCAATGACAAGAACGTAGCAATGATGTCAATGCATTGGTATGCATGTTATTGACAAGTTTTCGAGGAATTATAGTAAGCTTAACAAGTGAAGTACATGTTTACTTGATTTGTGCTAGATCTTGGAGGGATTTAGTCGCATTTGACTATATATTTATCTGCATTTAATTAATGAAAAGTCCTTGGTCCTTACTACTACTATTACACTCACAACAGATGAACGCTTGTACCTTGCAATTCATACCAGATAACAAAGCTTGCAAATAGGTCTAAAAGTCAATTTAAATTTATAAATTGTAGAAGAGACCTTGGTATATACACACGCACACACATGAACACAGAAAAGAAATATATATAAACTCTTCAGAGAAATGAAAAATAGATCTAATAAATCAACTTAAATAAGGGTACATTGGGGTACACATACACATGAACACTTAGGAGATACAAAGTGCATAAAGGTGCCGCTTGAGGCACTGCTACGTAATTTTCAAATCGATAGTTAATTTTCATTTTCTCGTTGTCCATCTTGCATAGAAATCCTATCATCAATGGCAAATCGTATTTTGGATTCTATCTGTTACATATATATCGGGTGCTTTGGTATACATATGCCTGGGTTCAGGCGAACTGCAACCATGGAATAATCCCCCGGAACGTAAAAAAGTATCCGACGTGCATAATGAGGAGGGCGTACCGCTAAAGATTGAGAAAATTGCAAACTAAAATTCAAATTACATAACTAGCTGCTAACTACCATAAAAATACTATGTATTATGTAAATATAAGAAAAATAATGTAAAAAATTCTATACAATATGTTTAGATGATAAATAAATCAATAGATGAACGGTGCTTTATTTTATTTTATAAATAGTGTAAAAAATACAAAAAGTTATGATTTTCAGATAAAGTCTCTTATGTGATTTTATAACATCCCACTCAAACATAAAGTACGGTTTAGTTAATTATTTATAGCAATTTATTTGAAAAATGAAAAGCAAACGTAAAACTTGCCTGATTGTAATTCTTTTGAAGTCTCTTTTTTTAAAGGAGATCACACATTTATTTATATTTATAAGTTTTAGTTTAACGTTATTGCAATTAATGATAATTTTTTTGAAATATGCTTAGTTTAATTTTTTTTTTTTTTTTGTTTTTTAGCAAATTAATATGTTTAATTAAAATTACTTTTTAATAATTTAAATTTTAATAATTTCACACTTATTTCTTTAGTAATAATGTTTGTATATAAGATATGTTACTTCTTTATAATAAACGGAATATTATTAAAACTTTGTAAGCGTTTGCCTGATATGGTATAAATATGCGAAAGATTTTTTAAGAGAATTTTTCTCCCTTTTATATCGAGTACCGAAGAATGCGGGACATGCTCACTATGACAAAACGTTTGCAACGCTCAGAGAGAAGCCTCCGAGATCCAATAAAATATATATAATCTTGATTGGCATCAATTTCTCAATTGATTTAAGCATCTGTGTCTCTCTATCTGTTCGTCTCTGCAATGTCTGGTGAACATTTTCTCATTCGCAAAAATGCATCAATCGGTTTGTATGGTTGAAAAGAAAAACTGTAAGACTGAATCCGATATTAGAGACGAAGTTTGTTTTGTAGAAATAAACAAAGCAACTAAAGTCATTCATTTGACGTGAAGACTTAAAATTCCTAAATCCCACAGAGCGCAATACGATCAAATCAATTATCTCAGGATATACCTTACGGTAAACCAAATTCCATTTCATCAGCAAATGAACATTCTATGGAAACTATTCCATAGAACGAAGGTCTGCTACGCGTACTATCAAAGTCGAGCCAACAGTTCACAATGCACCGAATTATGAAGGTAACTCAAAGGTACGATCACGTAAAAATATCATGGAAATCATAGAAGTTAGAGAGCTGCAATGTCCATATCAGCGACTAATTTCAGCTGATGTGTTTCCCAGCCGCCCCTTGCTTAGAACATTCGTGAAAGTATTAATAGCCGTCTCAGTGATGGAACTATTATAGGTCTCCAATCATCTTTTTTAACCTCATAGTTTCTAATAATCCTTAATGCGCTACGCTTTAAAACAGGATTTTAATCCCGCAAGCATTATAAGATCTCTGAGACGATAAGACGATAGGATGTAGGGTATATTAATTTTGACAAAACGTTCCTATCATTTAGAAGAGAGCCTTAGAAACCCCATAAAGTATACACGTTCTTGATCAGCTTCTAAAGCGACTTAAGCAAGTTTAAGCACAAAGATCAGAAGTTTTTGCAAGCAGACACAAATATACTACTGAGTGTAATGTTTAAGCGGGAACATTATTTTGATAAGATTGGTGTATTAGTTCCACTGTTCAGCAAGTCAGATGCGCTTTTTTGGTGAGTTTTCGCTAAGCCTGTATAGAACATAACCTCTTTTTCTCTTCTCGAACCTCTTTGTGCACTTGTAAAATGGCTTTGATTTGTTGCTTGTTTGACCGTTAGCTGATATTTCCCTTCACATGACTTATAAAAAAAAGTACCATGTTTTGAGAATAGAGCGAGCACAGAGTTGCTTCGAATGAAAATTTCGATAAATGTGTGTTCGATTCTCTCAAAGTATGAAAAATTTGTGTTTGATTCTATTACGTTAGGAATTTGTGTCCGATTTGCGTCAGTTCTTCGAAATGAAACATCGAAAATCTCTATTATTAGGAGAGAAAATCTATTTATTTCTTCGAGTGTGTTCTCTTATCCGTATTTTTCTAGCTATGGAGCACGACGTGCCTCGAGTAGTTGGTGATGTAGGCCTGTAATTTGAATTGAATGTTTTAAGCAAGGGTACCTCTTACAACAACAATGTTGACATTTATAACACATGCATCAGAAACGGCAACTTTCGAGCATAAAATCGACGAGGAAAGCGAGGGAAGAGAAGTTTTTGAGAATGGGAATATACTTTTATGGTGCCTGGGAAATTGCAGAGTAATAGAAAGTCTCTTCAATTGAATATGCCTTGCGAGGATTAGGTGCTGCTATAATTTCTTTGCATCTTTTTATTCTATTGTCCGTTTATCCTTTCGAAAAAAAACACTGTTAGCACAAAACACTTTTCTTAAGGCGGCTTTAAAAAAGTTTTCAAATTTGTTTCTTGTAATATTGCCCGTAAATCGACTTACGATTTAAATTCTTAATGGTTACCCTGTCTTAAATTCGATTGGTTTCTGTCCACACTATATACATATACAACAACCTTCTTTAACTTTGATGTAGAGTAATTCAAAAGCTGCAGATGTCGTTCTTTATAAAGCAGGAATTGCTTTAAACGCTTTTTCGTTGACTTGTAAAACAGAAATTTCAAGCCGACAATAAATGCACGAAAAAGAAACAAAAAAAAAGAAAAAAGGAACAAAACCAAGATTATGGCTTAGTCTACTAAAACAAAACAAGTAAGAAGACATTCTTCAAGTTCTCATGTGAAGACTACCTTAAAGTTGAACTGTTAATTTATCTGGTTAAAGGTATTAGCTTTCAATTATCCACTTCCTTTACTGGTCATTCCAATTTAGTAGATCTAGCAAGAATCTCCAAATAGCTGTTCGCAACATAACAACCGCAGTCGGTGATAAGTCATGCGGTGTACCCTGCACTCGTTGCTTGAACAATCTTCCACTAAATCTTAAAACTTTTAACACATGGCTAAGCGTCTTTAAGCTGAGATCAGGTACTTTGAATAATCTACAAGTAGATATTGGCGATGGTCTCTTATTTCTAACTGGTTCTTGCTTTCTTTGCAAGCTTTGTAACCGGTTTAGGAGTTCTATTGCTTAAGTATAATTTTAATGTGAAAGCACTCGCATACTGTGAACTATTTAAACTGGGTAATAATATAAGGAATCAGATTTAATTTGCTTTGCCTAAAATGGACAAATAAAGTAAAAGAACTACATTTTCATGCTCAATAATAATGGACGCGGCTGATTTTTCTATTTTTAAAAGTAAAAGTTTTCACCATATAGCCGTGTCCTTGAAAAAGTTGAAATCACTTCCGCTTGCAGATTTGATATCTTCAGTTTCGTCAACGGTGGGGGGGACTGTTTACCACAAGCGCTACACATTTACACAGGCAGACAGATGGACAGGCGAGCAGAGGGGCAAAATTGAAATTGGCCAAGAAGTTGTATATTTTTTCCATTTTTATACGGTTATTACAGCATCGCCCATAGTGTATTCGTTCATATTTTTGCACACTTATCTGCCATAGTTTATGAGTGATGAGCAAAATACAAATTCTTTATTCATTTTGAAAAACAGAGGTGTCCTCAGTTTATTTAGTAATGTGGGCGTATTCACGCGAACGATTTGACCCATTTTCGATACCAGCCTGCGTGCAAGAACTTTGAATATTTCTGTCAAATTTGAAGTCGATAGCTTGATTTTTGCGGTCGGAAGAATGTTTACAACAGACATTATGTACATTATGTACGGACAGACGGACATTCGTAAATCGATTTGGAATTTGATGCTGATCAAGAATATATATACTTTGTGGGATCTTTGATGCATCCTTCTGGGGTTTATGTTTGGATAACCCCAAAACAAGCCTACGATTAGGACCGTCTGCTATTACAAACAACCACGGGAGAAGTCGCTCTTTTCCGTTGTTGCCTAAAAGCGGACGGGTTTTTGTTTGGAGACAATCATCCGAGAGGTGCCGCTGGCGGCATTCGCGTCCTCCTTTTCTTCATATCACAGGCCATAAAGCTCAACATAATTGAATCATTGCGGGGAGCTTTTTAGCAGAGAGTGAGGAGTAGATTTTCCTCTCCAAGATCATTGATGCAATTGACTGAGGTTTTGTTTTCCCAGGCGTGCATATTAGTTTATCCATCCCTTGCATTTGAATGAATTAATTTTTTTATTTGATTATTTAATATTCTTTGTTATTTCATTAAATTAATATTAATTAAGCAGACACAGCCTTTGATATGATTATTTGTTTTTAGGGGATTTTTGTTTGTGTTTGTGGGATAAAGCTGCAATGGTTTTTCATTTATATATTTGATAACATTTCGCAGCAGTTGCTTTTTTCTATGATGACCGAAACAGCCGTTTAGTCATCTCGCTTGAAGTTAGCTATCAAGCATTCTTCTTATGAATGCCAATCGATGAACTTAAAGGGAATAATAAGAAGGATTTTAAAATCCTCTTAGTTGATACGACATCATTAAGTGCTGTCATAACTGCGTTTCATGTTCATTGTACTTGTGATTTATATGCATTTTTTGTTGTTATTAGTTGTTAGTCTTCCTTCTAATAATAAAAGAAAGAAAAAATTAAGTTCAACCCTGGAACAAATAAATTTGTGTACGAAATCAATGAAATGGAAAGGAAATAATGTTATGCATGCACTAATAGACCAAATACGAAATGCCAGCAGTTTCTAAGTTGGCTATTAAAACGAAAAAATCCTTTGTGAAAAATTTAATTTCCATAAATTAATGACTGGTGTTGTGCCTCGATGTGCCACGCATTTTCACTTGTCCGTATAGTAAAGATTTGAATAAGTTTTCCTTTCGTTTCTCATTATTTGCGTTTTGGCAAATAAAGACCAGATATCATTATCGTTCGGTTGCTGCTCTTAATTATAATCCAAAACACGTTTCCACGGCTGCTTTTGATCTTTTAGGGAAAAAAATTATACATATCCCCCCACATGGAATGGAAAAACCAGGAAAATGGAGAGAGAAAGAGAGAGAGCGAGTAACAAACAATCGTGCAATGCATTTTTACCCTTATCTGAGTTAATTTTTTTCCCCCTTTGCTTCTAACAATTATTACTAGTTGTATGTTGTGTGTTGTTTTACTTTCTACATACATTGTTATTATGTTTGTTACTCTAAAAAATGGTGATATACTAGTTTTCCTCTTTCATTTGTAACAGTTAGAAAAACAAACATCAGTCAGTGAGTCATTACAAAGAAGCAGATATTCTTGAGTAGCAAGCAAGTCTATGCCAAAATAGTTATGTTTATTTGTTTGTTAGCCTTTGTTCTTAAATATGGAAAGTTCTTTTCTGAATTCTTGAAAGAAGAAAAAGGAATAATGTAGA